TTCTGGCCTGCATGGTTTCTGGTAATTAATGTGCAGTCTTGGAATTATTATTATTTCATATTTAATGCATTATTTTTCTCTGGCTGCCCTCAAGGTATTTTTTCTGTCTTTAGTTTTTAGCAATTTGGTTGCAGTGTCTGGACCTGGGTTACTTTGAGTTTCTTCCAGTTTGAGGTTCACTGAACTTCTTCATTCTGTAAGTTTGGTTTTTTGTTAGATTTGGGGTTTTTCAGTTTTTTTGGCACTGTACTTTTTCTCCTCTTCTTCTAGAACCTATATCTTAGAGCTTTGTTATTGTTCAGGAGGTCTGAGGCGCTATTTACTTTTTTAAATGTCTTCTGTTGTTCAGCTTTCAAAATTTTTGTCTTTAAATTCACTGATTCTTTCCTTTGTCATTTCCATTCTGTTATTGAGTCTTTGCAGTGAATTTTAAATTTGGTTATTATGTTTTTTAGTTCTACGACTTCCATTTGTTACTTTTTTGTGTCTTCCATTTTTCTGCTAAAACTGTCTTTTCATTTGTTTCAAGAGTATTTGACCTTACTTCTTAGAGAATGATTTTAATAGTTACTTTTTAAAAAAATCTTTTTTTTGTAATTCCAGAATCTGTGTCCCCTTGATTATTTTTTCCCTTGTGAGTTAATGGGATTTTCTGGTTCTTTGTATAACAATTTTAGAATGTATACTGGACAATTTGACTTACGTTATATGACTTTGAATCTTGCTTGAATCCTATGGAAAATGTTGAAGTTTTTGCTTTAATAGGCGGTTGACCTAGTTAGATTCAGACCACAAGTTCTAACCAGCATTGTATAGCCTGTGGTTCCAGTGTCAGTTCAGTTTTTTTTTTTTTTTTTTTTTTTTTTTGAGACAGAGTCTCACTTTGTTGTCCAGGCTAGAGTGAGTGCCGTGGCATCAGCCTAGCTCACAGCAACCTCAAACTCCTGGGCTCGAGTGATCCTTCTGCCTCAGCCTCCCGAGTAGCTGGGACTACAGGCATGCGCCACTATGTCCGGCTAATTTTTTTTTTTATATATATATATCAGTTGGCCAATTAATTTCTTTCTGTTTATAGTAGAGACGGGGTCTCGCTCTTGCTCAGGCTGGTTTTGAACTCCTGACCTTGAGCAATCCGCCCGCCTCGGCCTCCCAAGAGCTAGGATTACAGGCGTGAGCCACAGCGCCCGGCCTCAGTTCAGTTTTTGATCTTACCTGCACATGTGCTTGCCAGTGTCCAGTCTGGGACCAGGCCAGCATGCTCTTAGAGGCAGGTCTATGCACACTCAACTCAAGGATGACCCCAGGAGTACACATCCAACTTTATAAGTTTTCATGAACTCTCCTTTTGTAATTTCCTTGACACTTTCTGGCTCCTAGCGATACCCCCAGCCTTTCCTGTTGTCTAGCTAGAAAGCTGGGGCTTTCCCCATACTTCAGCACACTTTCCACAGCTATGCTAGCCTGTGTAGCCAACCAGTAAGAGGACAGAGGAAAAAGTAAAAGGGATTCTCCCCTTTTCTCTTGGGACTGCAGAGAATAGGATTCTCTGACAGAATAAGATTGTTGAAGCTTTTGGAGCCTACCTTGCTGCTGCCATTGCAGCCACTATACTGCTGCTCTGATACTGCCTGGGGGCCTAGGAGGGAGAGAAAGGATTTAAAAAAAGCTCCTCCCCACCCCCCTAAAAAAGGAAAGAAAACCCAGGGGATTTCCCCTGTTCTCTCTGATCTATAGGTGCTCCCTTTCCTGTTCCTCAGACCAGAAATAGAGAGTTCTCTTGGAGCTTTTTTGTTCATCTGGTGTATAGTTTGAGCTTTTGAGTCCAGGCCAGGAGGTGCTGGAGAAACAGTGAGAAACTTGTGCCCGTGTAGTGTCACTGCAAGTTCTGGTTACCTTTCTCAGTCTGTCTGCTACCATTTATGTTTCCAGGTCTTTGGATACATTTGTCCATTGTTTTTAGTTGTATTCTCTGGTAGAGATAGGGTAGAGTGCACTTATGTCATCTTGACTTACTCATTAGAATTTCAAATCAAATCAAAGGATGATGTTTTGTGTTTGAATTTACTTTTTTCCACTTAAATAGCAAGCCCATGAGGAGGATAATGGTTTAACACCTGCCTATGGTGGTTTCTATCATAATTACTTTCATTGTATAAAAACCTCTTGAACTACAGAGGTAACCTTATGTTAAGACTTCATATATTTGTATATGAAACTTGTCTAGAGCCTAGAAATTCCTACTTCCTCTTCTCCCTATGGTTCTAGCTCCCATTTTTCATAAAAAATAGAAAGTCTCTTTCTTGAACAAACCCTCCTTTTGTATTTGCATGTATCACTCTTAGGTAGCCTAGGATTTTCTGAAGATGTCCTTGTTACTCCTTTTAGTTACAAAAGTAGTAGACCATTACAAATCCGTTCATAACTTTGTAACTAAAAATCAATATGAAGAACTCAAAAGCAGTGTTTAACTTCTTTTGAGTAACCTCTTTAGGATATACTGATGTTTTGTACTTGGATATAAATAGATACTAGGTTTAGTTTCAGGATCTTGCTTTATGCAAAGAGGTAAAGGTTAACAAAATAATTTCTTCTGAGCTGACTGATAAATTTACTAATTTTTCATTTTGTAGTACACATGCTTCTTCATAGCTACTTGCTTGGATACCTAATGGTCTTAATTTAGGAGTAGGCTTGTCCATTGTGTTCCTTGTGATAGAGTCCCACTCCTTCGATTATCTTCTTTGTTTTAAGCTGTCTGTGTAATCAGACTTCTTCCTTCTGCCTAAGGAGAATTTCTGACCTCAATTTTTTCATGAAGATGTTACTAACAATTTAAAATAATAGAAAAAATGATAATATATGTGGTAAATTCCTTTTCTCAACAAGTATTTATAATAAGTTCATTCATTCAACAAATATTTGTTAAGCGCTTATATGCCAGGACACCAAGGATGCAGTAATAAATGGAATAGTCACAAACTGGACATTGAGGAAAATTTTTGTCCATTGCATGAAGTTTGTATTCTGAAGAATTTCTTTTATTATTTAAACTTTACCTTTTATACTTTAATTGTTTATGTGCCCTAAAACTATCTTATCATGGCTTTGTCCTTAAAATTGGCAGTTTAAAATATATTCATTTTAATGAAAATGCTGTTGTACCTTAGTTATATGAAAGTATCGGCAAAGTTCTAGATACATTTTTATCTTATGGAATGAGTTGGTATTTTGTGTTTTGAAGTTTGGCGTGATTAGGAATTCATTTTGAGTTAAAAGACAAGGTCATTTAAAATTTTTTAAACTTCTTATTGAAATACTAAATTGATTAACTTAGTATTTAAGCACTACTCAAATGTTTGAAGGAAAGTTCTTTTTTCCAGTTACCTGTCTCATCATGTATGTGAAATAATTTTATAAATTGTTTTAAATGTAGATTTATAAATAGTTTTTATATTCCTGCTGTTATATTACTGTGCAAATCCTTTAATTTGGGACTTTGGAGAAGAGACATGGAAAGAACATACATAAATAAATGCCATTAGGTTATTAGGTTATTAAGTATAAAATGTCTAATTTCCTTAAATACTGTTTGACAGTTGATACCTCTGACATTTCCCTTTGACACTTCTTGTTTTATTTTTATTGTGAAGGTACATCCTTAGTCTTTCAAACACATGGTTTGGCTTGTGATTATCTTTCATATTTTTTAGACCAATTTTTGTGAAACCATGTTTAAGTCAAAAATTCATGTTATTTTTGAAGATGAATTCCTTTGTGGAACCAATGCTGTGCAGACAGCTTGAAATATTAACAAAGTGTTTGGGAAGGATGTGGCTAACGAATGCATAGACCGTCGATGGTTTGAGAAGTTCCATTTTGGCGATTTTAATCTTGAAAATGAGCCATGTGGGCGACCTAAGACCAAGGGGGCTTAATGATGAGGTAAAAGCTGTAGTGGAAGTGAATCCATCTCAACCTACGTGTGAATCGGGAGCAAGGTTTGACATCACTGTTTCAACATTATTGGACCATTTGAAACAAATCGGCAAGGTAAAAAGCTGGATAGATGGGTTCTGCATGCGTTAAACGAGTGTCAGAAGAGAAATCGTCTCAAAGCTTGCCTTTCTTTACTGTCATGACATAAAGATGAACCATTTCTACACCATATTGTTATGTGTGATGAAACATGGATTCTTTTTGACAATTGCAAGAGTTTGGCACAATGGTTGGATAAAGATGAAGTGCTGAAACACATTCCAAAACTGAATACTCATCACAAAAAGCTCATGGTGTCTGTTTGGTGGTCCAGCATGGATATTATCCACTACAGCTTCATGAAACATGGTCACTCGATTACAGTGGTTGTCTACTGCAACCAACTAGACAAAATGATGAGGATGCTTGTGATCAAGCAGCCAAGATTGGTCAATAGAGACAGGCCAATCTTCTTGCAAGACAAGACTCAGTTGTCACACAAACTGCAGTTCAAACTGCAGAAGCTGGACTTGGAAACTGTCATCCACCACACTCCCCAGACCTCGCACCAACTGACTACCACTTCTTCCAGGCTTGGACCTCTTCTTGCAAGGAAAAGTACTCAATTCTCAACAAGCTGTGAAAAATGCCCTTCATGATATCATCACTACATATTCTCCAGGCTTCTTTGTTGCTGGCATAAACAAGCTACTGTTAAGATGGCAAAACTGTGCATACTTTGATTAATTGTACTGCTTCTTGTTTGAGATATAATAAACTATCGATTTGAAATCAGACATTTCATATTTAATGACCTAATATTAAGGGAGCTTGTTAACTCATAAAAGGAATGGAGGGGAGAACTCTTCTATTCCACAAACCAATGAAGAAGCAACTTAGTGATGGAAGCTTATTTTATAATAAGAGCTCACAGCAAGCAAAACTCTGCTATTCATGAATATACTCTATTACTGTAGGACAAGTAGCTTTTTGATTTTTGAAGTTGTCCCCTGTTTCCCTTGCAGGTATAGAACAAGATGCGGTGAATACTTTTACCAAATATATATCTCCAGATGCTGCTAAACCAATACCAATTACAGAAGCAATGAGAAATGACATCATAGGTAAGCAGTGCTTGACGCTATGACCAAAAAAAAAAAACTATTTTTGGTTATTAAGATAATTTTTTATGAACATGGAGTATAACAGTTCCTTTCCTACTCTGTTTTCAGAGTACTTTCTTATATCTAATTATAGCTCACTTAAAAAAGTTCTCTCTTATATGTTGGACCCAAATTCTTTGACTTTGACCTGAATAACAACAATAGCAAGAACAATAAATAGCATACATTTATTGAACCCTCACTATGTCCTAGACAATATTCTAAGCACTTTCCATGGATAAACTCATTTAATCTTTGAACTCAATTCTCTGGTGGAAAAGAAAAACAACTCATTTAATCTTTTAAAGAACTTTGTAGGGTAAATACAGTTCCTATTTTGTAACTGAAGCACCTTTGTCCAAGGTAACACAACTCAGACATGGCAGAGTCAGGATTTGAAATTAGACCACTGCATCTTTTCTGGGCTATGTTGGCAGTGTGTTTTTCATACTGTAGTTTGGGACCAGCCTTCTCTTATGTCCTCACCTCCCTGCCAATAAAAAGACTAGAATAGAAAAATCAGAGTGTTTCAGGGTAATAAGGACAAACATCATTTCAGGAAATTGTTTTCGTTTTATATATACATAGATGTGTGTGTATACTAAATCAACAAATATATTTCTCTATAGCTATTAGTAAGAAGTAAGTGTGAAAGCTTTCACTATGTTTCATCAGGAAGACTTAGGTGGATCTGTATTCACAGATAAAAGTGCTTCATTCAATAAATATTTCGTATATTCTCACAAGTCCAGGTACTAATTTTTGTATTTTATTCATCAAAAATTTAGTATTTGTGATATATGAAATAAGGCATGTTATTCCAGCCCTAGCCAATTCATCCCAACACAGGGCTGCTTCAGTCCTTACTGTAGATACTTTATATTCACTCATTACTGTAGACAGCAAGACCTGTTTTAGTCACAGCTGTGTTCTTAAATTGGGCCACAGTACTTTCCAGTGAACACCTGTTGGCTATTTTGGGGTCCATCAGATGTTGCCCACATTTTCCTTTTCTTTATCCTGCACAGACATCTATAACACATAGGTCTTGTGGCTGTTGATGGGTTGTCCCTGTCTGCTTGCATTTGGGGATTGTGAGGATACCATTTCACCTAGCTTTGTTAACAGGTTTTCATGGGATTTTGGTTTTTCTGTATAGTTGCTTTATTTTTATGTGGGAATTTGCTGCTATCATCTTGAAGACTTCCTTAGACCAACTTTTCCTGGTAATATAGCTGGGGAGTTCTGATTAGAATTTGGCTATTTGAGGAATTGGCTAGTGATTCATTTGAGACTTTGTTTGTACCAATTGATAACCAAACTGTCTGGGGTAAGGAAAAAAAATGAAGTTTTGAGCCAAATAAAACATTTAAAAATGAAATGTCGGCCGGGCCCAGTGGTTCATGCCGGCCTAGGCAGGCGGATGGCTCAAGATCAGGAGTTTGAAATCAGCTTGAGCAAGAGCAAGACCCTGTCTCTACTGAAAAATAGAAAGAAATAATTGGCCAACTAAAAATATATAGAAAAAATTAGCTAGGCATGGTGGCACATGCCTGTAGTCCCAGCTACTTGGGAGGCTGAGGCTGAAGGATTGCTTGAGCCCAGGAGTTTGAGGTTGCTGTGAGCTAGGCTGATGTTACGGCACTCTAGCCCGAACAACAGAGTGAGACTCTGTCTCAAACAAAAAAAAAAAAAAGTGAAATGTCACTGCAGTTCTGTTTTTCCGTCCACTTAAACTTAATTAAATTAATGATATAATCCCATGAAGGAAAAAAAATCTGAAGGATCAAGTTGCTAACATTTATCTGAGAAAGTCTCTATCCCAGTGTCATCTTATTACACATTTTGGAATGTTAATATGGCTTTAGGAAAGTCACTTTTCCTCTTTCAGCCTCATTCTTCTGAATCTTGCCATAATTATTTGTCCCTTCTTATTATTGGAATATTTTTTTTTAATTATTTTTTTTTATTTTGGCATATTATGGGGGTACAGATTTTAAGGTTTCAATAAATGCCCATTTCCCCCCCTCCCCCCAAAAGTCTGAGTCTCCATCATGACCATCCCCCAGATGGTGCACATCTCACCCACTATGCATGTATATACCCGCCCCCCTCCCCCCTCCCACCTGCCCAACACCCTATTACTGTAGCACCTATGTGTCCACTTAGGTGCTACTCAGTTAATACCAGTTTGCTGGAGAAGGAATATTTTAATATAGTTATACTTCAAGTGAGTTTTGTTTAAAGGAGCCTTTACTTTAGCTATTTCTGTGTATCCAACCTACCTAGTTTTGTTGTAAATGTTATCCTTGGGCTTTTTGATATTGCTATCTAATTATTCTGTTTTTATGTGGGGATTCAGAATGATCCAGAAACTATGCTTCAACTGCTGCCTCTGTCTTCCACAAATTCTTGAAGTGATGGAATTTTAAAAATACTTTGATGATACAGCTGACAGAATTTGCTGATGTTTTGGAAATGAGTGGTATGAGAGGAAAAAAAGGAATCCATTTTTTAAAAAAACTGAATAGCTAGAATAGTGGAGTTGTCATTTATAAGATGAGAAAGACTGTGATATTAATGGTTTTTGGGAAAAATCGGGTTTGGTTTGGTTTTATTTTATTTTGTTTTTTTGAGACAGAGTCTTGCTTTGTTGCTCAAGCTAGAGTGAGTGCCATGGCGTCAGCTTAGCTCACAGCAACCTCAAACTCCTGGGCTCAAGCAATCCTGTTGCCTCAGCCTCCCAAATAGCTGGGACTACAGGCATGCGCCACCATACCCGGCTAATTTTTTCTATATATATTAGTTGGCCGATTAATTTCTATTTATAGTAGAGATGGGGTCTCGCTCTTGCTCAGGCTGGTCTCGAACTCCTGACCTCGAGCAATCTGCCCGCCTCGGCCTCCCAGAGTGCTAGGATTACAGGCATGAGCCACCACGCCCGGCCAAGGGGTTTGGTTTTAGACATTCAAATGGTGAATGTCAAGTAGGCAGTTGGACACCTGCATTGGGATTTTATGACAGAGGTCCAGGTTAGAGATGCATATTTGGAAATCATCAACATATACATGGATTTAGAATCATGAGATTGGATAACATTACCATAAGAGTAAATGTAATGAGGGAAGATAAGAGGTATAAGGACTGAGTCCTGGGACATGCCTAATAGTCTGACAGATGAGGAAGAACTAGCAAAGATGATTTAGAAATAACAGCCACTAGGTAGGCCTTCTTAAGTCGACTGTATATCAAGAGAGTAGTTTTTCCTGGAACCCATGTGAGAAAAACGTTTCTAGGAGGGAGTGATCAAAATTAAGTGACGCTGATAGGTTAAGTAAGATGGAGGCTAAGAATTGAATAGGTTTGGCAACCCAGTGTACACTGGTCATCTTAATTATTTCATGTTTTAAAATTTCTACCAATATTTTAATACTTTTTTATAGATAAATCTTTTTACAAATTTATAATTTTTTAAGTTACAATCCTAAAAATAGAATTGCTCATTGAAAGGGGATGCTTATTTTTAAAGCTATGCAAAAAATTAAAATTGCTCCCCAGAAAAATAGGTATGATTTTGTGTGTCCATTTTCCCATGCCCTTGCTCAAGCCTGTGTATTATACAACAGTTAAACATATGTATTGTTAAAATGACTTTGTTTCAATTTATTAGACAAAGGATACCTCATTATTCCATTCTACTTTATTTGATTACTAGTGAACATAAATGTCTTTTGATATTGGCCATTTTATTTCTTCTATTGTGCATTGTCTGTTATATCGTTGCTCATTTTCTTTTGGGACATTTCTTATTAGTTTGTAAGAACTCTTGATATTTTAAGGATAGTAATTTTTTTTTTTTTTTTTTTTTGAGACAGAGTCTCACTTTGTTGCCCAGGCTAGAGTGAGTGCCGTGGAGTCAGCCTAGCTCACAGCAACCTCAAACTCCTCGGCTCAAGCGATCCTCCTGCCTTAGCCTCCCGAGTAGCTGGGACTACAGGCATGCACCACCATTCCCGGCTAGTTTTTTCTAGATATATTAGTTGGCCAATTAATTTCTTTCTATTTATAGTAGAGACGGGTCTCACTCTTGCTCAGGCTGGTTTTGAACTCCTGACCTTGCCTCGACCTCCCAGAGTGCTAGGATTACAGGCGTGAGCCACCGCACCCGGCCAGGATAGTAATCTTTTAACTTTCATACCTGCTGCAATTTTTTTTTTTTCTGTTTGCCTTTTAATTTTGTTCTGGGGATGTTTTTAATGTATAGAAATTACTTTTACATTGTTGGCTCTTGGTTTCTGCTTTTGCATATATGCTTCAAAAGCCTTTTTAACTCAGGATCAGCTGTTGCCTGTTTAAAACCTTCTAATTTATATGCCTTTCCTGTTATCCCCTAATTGGATTCACAAATGTGTATAGTTGAATTTAGCAGAAACTTAATCATTTACTATTCCTTTCACAGCAAAGATTTGTGGAGAAGATGGACAGGTAGATCCCAACTGTTTTGTTTTGGCACAGTCCATAGTCTTTAGTGCAATGGAGCAAGAGTAAGTTAGTTTCATATGTTCACATTTCGCATTCTTGGGAATTTGAGTTCTGTATTAGGAATGGGCTTCACTCAACTAAAAACAAAGTATCTTTGAGGATTTAAGTATTTTGAATTATTTATAAGATCATGTAAAAGTACTCTAGGACTGTCTTGGTTCATAGTTTCTTCTAAATATGAATTATGTGAACTCTTACTAAAAATAAAAGTATTTTCATTTTTAATATTAATATTTCCTAAGTAAAAGAATTTGTTTTTAGTTGTGAAATCATTTGGGGGTGATTGAGACTATAGTGATTGTGACTATTAGAATTTATTTATTTATTTATTTATTTACTTACTTAAATAATGCATGTCTTCAGATGGATATCCTAATTTGTTAGTTCATGCTTTAAGCTTAATGGATGCTATATAACTAAACACACATCTATTTGTTAAAAGTGCTTCCAGAATTTTTTTAGATTAATTACTTTTGCATGCCCTTAAAAAAAGAGCTAAGTATTCAGTCTTTCATTTAACCTTTATTGAAAGGGTACTCTGTGCAAGGTACAGGTATAGGACCTACCTTGAAGGAAGTTACACCCTGATAAAAGAAATAGGACATGTTCTTCAGTTACTGTAGTATGAGGTAGCATATATTAAATGTTGGAGAAGAGCTACAAAGTCACAAAGAGGTGGGAGAGGTTGGTCCCAGTGCAGTGGTGTTTACAACTAATTGATCATAACCAGTTACGGATTCCTTTGTTCCTTCTCCACTCCCACTGCTCCACTTGACCAGCCTTAAAAAAAAAAAAAAAAGAGGTGGGAGAGATTACATACAGGTAAAAGAATCAGGCTAAACACCATGGGAAGTAAGGTAGTGTTGACTTAGGCCTTTAAGATACAATGGAGACAGTATGGAAAGAGTATATTTTTCCCACTTAAGCTCTTTCCATGGTCATTCCCTCAAATGTTCCCTTTTTGTCCATGTGCAGGCACTTTAGTGAGTTTCTGCGAAGTCACCATTTCTGTAAATACCAGATTGAAGTGCTGACCAGTGGAACTGTTTACCTGGCTGACATTCTCTTCTGTGAGTCAGCTCTCTTTTATTTCTCTGAGGTAAAGTCTGCATTTCTTTTTCCAGTCTTACTAGAGCATCCCAGCCTCTAAATTGTAAATGCTGGGGCCCTGTCTGTAGGAAGTAACGCAGAGAGATGAATCATTTCTAAAAAGATTTATTATTGTTTTAAGTTATTTCTAATGGCAAGAATACTTTAATGATGTATTAAAGAGAACATGAAAATTCAATGTAAAATAATTCATTTTGAAAAACATAATTAAACTACTGTGTATAGAGAATGCATGTTTTTAATTGTTTGGAGCTATTTTAAAACAGAATTTGATACTTGATTTCAGTGCACAAATATTTTCAGTCCAGACTTGAGGAAAGAAAATACTAAATTTTTTCCTGTTCTCATCATTTTTAATTTAGCTGCATGATAGGATTGCCCAGTGAAGGATTTGCAACAAACAAGGAGTACATTAATCTCTTTGAGGCATACAGTTTAGTATAATGCTATTTGTTAGGCGTCAGAAAATGAAATTCTTTGGTCGCTAAGCAAATGACTACTCAGTAAAGATAAAGAAGATTCTCAGTTTCACAGAATGGTGACTTGGACACTTGAATTCTGCCTCTTCACAAGAATACAATTGATTGGTTTTTTCACTCCCTTTCTTTGCTGTAAGTTTAAATCAGCAGTTTGTTTAGATCAGTTTGTTCTCATGGATTGATGGGAATCATCAGTGTAAAAGATCTAGTGTGGTTAGCTTACTCTTGTATGTTTGCCAGCAAGGAACCACTAATCCAACATAGTGTGATTTTTACTCCAGCTCGCTGAAGTTTGCATCCAACTGTATGGTGGGTTTTTTTTTGGTTTTTGTTTTTTTCCTTTAAAGAATGTTTAAAAACTTTTCAACATTAAATGATTATAACCTGCGGACTGGTGTTAATTGAAGAAGTGGATGTCTTTTTGCTCTTGTCCTGTATTTTAATACTTGTAGCTTATAGATTAGAGATTGTGAGAAATCTGTTTAGAGTCTTATTTTCCCTTTTGTATTTTTCTTTCCTAGTACATGGAAAAAGAAGATGCAGTCAATATCTTACAATTCTGGTTGGCAGCAGATAACTTCCAGTCTCAGCTTGCTGCCAAAAAGGGCCAGTATGATGGGCAGGAGGCACAGAATGATGCTATGATTTTATATGACAAGTGAGTTTTTTTCATAGATACATTCGGCACTCACCAGATATTTATTGAGGATTTGATATGTACTATGGAAGTTAAGATGGATAAACTCTGCCCCTGCTGTCAAGGAGCTCACAAGGAGCAGCATAAAAGCTGCTTTTCACATGGTGTGTGTAAACTTTGGGTGTTCTTAGAACTTTGGGTTTCTGCTGGGGGAAGGGGTGGTGTGTGTGTGTGTGTGTGTGTGTGTGTGTGTGTGTGTGCGTGCGTGCAAGCGGGATGACAATGGTGGTGTTCAGGGAGAGCTTCCCAGAAAGGAGATTTGATTTGGATCTTGAAGAATGAATTGAATTTTACTAGCCAGAGAAGGCAGGAAAGAACATTCTAGGCAAAGATATTGGCACAAGCAAATTCATGGAACTTGGGGGAACAAGGTAATTTCAAGAAAGTCGAGTTTAGATAATCGAAGCAGTACAGAGGGGGGAAAAGGAAGCCGAAAGTAATTGGAATAGATTGTAAAGGGCCTTGAATATCTATGTATGGATGTATCATATTTTCTGGTGCAAATCTGCTGAGCTCGATTACTAAATGTATTATAGTCTTTCATTAGTTTTTAATGAAAATGAGAGGTTTGAAAAACTGAAAATATCTGTTCAGTCAAGTGATAAGACTGTGGCCAGCTCTATAACACATAGTTTTCTTTTCATTCAACTTTTCATATTCTGTAAAGAAAAGTAATTTGTTACTTGTATCCACAAGCAAGTGCTAAGGGGGTAACTTGAGAGTGGATAAAAATCCATGGGATTTTAGGGTTGGAAGAGAGAGCATCTAGGCCAATGGTTCTGAACACTGGTCTGCAGGTGCATGCCAGGCTGTCTGCAAAAGAATCACCTGTGAGCTTGTTAAAAGTAGATTTCCAGTTTTCTCTCTTAAAAGATTCTGATTCAGCGGTTTGAGATATGACCCAGGAATTTTTATTTTTAGAAGATATGCCAGATAATTCTGATGAATAGCCAGATTAGGGTTCTAGTCTGATTTCCCCATTTTGCAGATAAGGAAACTAAGGCACAGAGAGGTAGTGGTTTTCTCAAAGTTACAGGACCAGTTAGTGGCAGAATTTGGACTGGAATGCAATTTTTTAATGTTTTTTCTTGTGTTTTGTATCGTATATTTGTGGAATATATTATGTAAGAAGCATTGTTATGTGGATATTGAAATATCAAGACTATACATTTAAAAATTTGATGTGAGGTGTCTGAAAATTCACATCATGAAGGAGTATTTACCAACTTACTCGTTATAACATGGGAGACTCACTTTTGTTATGAAAATGCTCATTTTAAAAAGGAGAGTTTTCTTAATGCTGGAACAAAATAATGGCACTAGTGGAATCCTGTCTGGAACTCAGTAACCACACAGAGACGAGACCTGGTTTTCTCACCAGATCCCATTTTCTCATTGGGAGCCATTTTTAAATAAAGATTTCTGTATGTTATCTCCCTAACACTGTTGTTTTTGCCAAGCTCCTTGTGCCAAATTTGACTTTACAAATCCCTACTTGTTTGTTTTCGTATCTTATAAATGCATCATCACAATCATGCATCATTAGCCTTTCTGTATTTCGGTATAGACAGGAGATAGAAGCCACTTGAGTGCTTGGAAGAAAGCATATAAAAATTTTCTCCACTTTAAATGCTTTTTTTGCATCTACTTCATGATCAGCTTACCAAAACACTAGCTACAATGCATCCTATCAAATTAGAAATCTTTGAATTATCAATATTAATTACCCCATTTGCTTTCTACACCAAATCATCAGCAAGTCCTATTCTATCTAAATACATCAAATCCATCCATTTCACCCTCTGTGCTGTTTTGTTCTGAATTCCTATGTTTACTGCATGTGCCTCATAGTCATGGGCTATATTCTCATTGTCTCCTATGCGTAGCTCTTCTCTGTTCTCTCTTCAGGGGAAATGACCATATCTTATTTTCTTCTAAATCCATTTCTTTCTACTAAGCTATGACCAGAGAATAGGTGCCCATTAAATATGTGTGATTGATTAGTTTCTTTGCCTTAATTATAGCCTGACCTCTCACAGCTCTTAAGCAACAGCAGAGCTGACTGGGCAAGAACTAAGGATGGCTGGCAGGCAGATAGGGAGGTAGCAAGTTAACCCAGATACTTTTGGGGAAGGGGAAATAAATAAAGGTTAAAACAGGACTGTCATCACCCAGCTCCACGGTTTAGGTCTGCAGGCTAAATTAAGTAGCACTATATAAGATTCTCTGGTGTAGGTGCCTAAAGTTGCTTATACTTGCTATGGAGTTTTGTTTTACTTTGGATATCTTTCTGCCATAGGTACTTCTCCCTCCAAGCTACACATCCTCTTGGATTTGATGATGTTGTACGATTAGAAATTGAATCCAATATCTGTAGGGAAGGGGGGCCTCTCCCTAACTGTTTTACAACTCCATTACGTCAGGCCTGGACAACCATGGAGAAGGTAACTAAGAAATTCAAAAGTATTAAACCATAAGAAATTTTACTCATGGATCTCAGAAAATATAACATCGGAAAACCCAAACATAACAGAACACTGGACATTGAAGCAGTGTAGTATAGTGGTGAAGAGCAGAAGCTTTCAGTGTGGCTGGGTATGTACATTTTCTGTCAGTGACAGACTGCATGTACGGCAGTGGTCCTGTAGGTTATAATAGAGGTGAAAGATTCCTATTGGCTAGTGTTACTTATTTTATTTTAGTAGATTTATGGGGGACAAGTTAAATTCTGTCCCCCATAGATCTGTGGGGTGGCCTAGTATTTACCCATAGTGGTGGCCTAGTATTTATTATCCTATGCTTTTAATTGTTATTTTAGAGTGATCCTTCTACTTATTAAAATAACAAGTTAAGACGCAGGAGGATCACTTTAGGTCAGAAGTTTGAGACCAGTCTGAGCAAGAGTGAGATCCCATCTATAAAAAAAATAGGAAAATTATCTGGGTGTGGTAGTACACACCTGTAGTCCCAGCTGCTTGGGAAGCTGAGGCAGGAGGACTACATGAGCCCAGGAGTTTGAGATTGTGGTGATCTCTGATGCCACTGCACTCTAGCTGAGACGACAGAGTGAGATTCTGTCTCAAAAAAAAGTTAGTGTAAAACAGCCTCGGGCAGATTCTTCAAGGAGGTATTCCAGGAGAGGTGTAGTTATCCTAGGAGATGACAGCTCTATGCATTTTATTGCCCTTTGAAGATTTTCCTGTGAGACAAGATGTGGAGGTGGAAGACAGTGATATTGGCGATCCTAACCCTGTGTAGGCGTAGGCTAATATATGTGTTTGTGTCTTAGTTTTTAATAAAAAATAGGAAAAGTAAAAAAAAAAATTAAAAATAGGAGAAAGCCTATAAAATAAGGATATAAAGAAAGAAAATATTTTTGTATAGCTGTACAATGTGTTTGTGTTTTTTAAGCTCAGTGTTATGATAAAAGAGTCTAAAAGCTAAAAAAAACAGCTTATAAAGTAAAAATTTTACAGTAAGCTAAGGTTAATTTATTATTGAAGAAAGAAAAATATTTTTTAATAAATCTGGTGTAGCCTCAGTGTACAGTGTTTATAATGTCTACAGTAATGTCCTGGACCTTCACATTTTCTCCTCACTTACTCACTGGTTCACCCAAACCAACTTCCACTGCTGCAGGCTCCATTCATGGGAAGTGCTCAATACAGGTATATCATTTTTTTAATCTTTTGATTGAGTGATTGGCGGGATCTCACTCTTTTGCCCAGGCTGGAATGTAGTGGCATGATCATAGCTCACTGTAACCTCAAACTCCTGGGCTCAAGTGATCCTCCTGCCTCAGCTTCCCAAGTAGCTAGGACTACAGGTGCCATGCCACTATGCCCAGCTAATTTTTTTAAAATTTTTTGTAGAGACGGAGCCTATAGTTTGCTCGGGCTGGTCTGGAACTCCTGGGCTCAAGCAATCCTCTTGCCTCAGCCTCCCAAAGTGCTGGGATTACAGGCGTGAGACACTGCACCTGCACATTTTTTTATCTTTTATACTGTATTTTTACTGTGCCTTTTCTAGGCTTAGATATGTTTAGATACTGTGTTACAGTTGCTTCCAGTATTCAGTAATGTGCTGGACAGGTTTGTAGCCTAGGAATATAGTAAGCTATGCTATCTAGGTTTGTGTAAGCATACTCTAATGTTCGCATAATGACAAAATCACTTAACAATGCACTTCTTAGGATGTATCTACATTGTTAAGTGATACATGACTGTATTAATCCTAACCTTTATAGGCTGAATGACTTTGGGCACTTACTGAAATTTTCTGAAGCCATTTTCCTCACCTATAAAATGGGGATAATATGGTTACTCATCTCAGAGTTATTTTGAGGATTAAAGTTAAGTAATATATATAAAATGCTCATTTGCATAGTACCTGACACATAGTAAGCATTAAAAAATGTTAGCTGCTATTAGTAGTAGTAGTACATCTTTTTTGATAATTATATAACAGTACATGGAAAAGTTAGCTCAAGAATAATCCAAATATTTCACCAGTATCCAACAACGCAGTTGGAACACTAGTTTTGTGTGTGGTGATCACTTATAAGGTTATCACTAATAATATACTAATAAAGTATTAAAATTTACAAATGATTTATTCTAATGAACTAGAATAGATTTTGCCAGGAATTGCAGAGCCCAGGATAAGCCCATGATGTTATGTCGCTTATATATTACATGTTTATACAGGTGGGAAAGTTTAATTAAGCACTTTTAGATAATACCATACATAAAAACTGAATTTTAGGAATATTGAAGAGTTACATATAAAAATAAAATAATTGAAAAGCTAGTATTAAACAGAATAAAGTATCAGTTATTACCCAGGGACAAAAATTTTTTCATGATTAAAATTAAAATGTATCATAAAGAATGAAAACTTTCTGGGTAATAAGGAAAATTAAAATACAGAGAAAACCACAATGCAAAAATAGTTTTTACTAAATGTGTGTATGTAAGGAACTTACATTAATTTTAGGAACACAATCAAGACCCTGTTAAGTGGGAAAAAGACAGGAATGATTCTTTCAACAAAACTTTGAGTATTTCTGTGTTAGGTATTGGTGTTACAGTGATAAACAAAAGGAACATGGTTTCTGGCCTCCTGGAGCTTAGTCTATAAAGAAAGCACATGTTAAATATAGGCATAAATATTTACAATTGTGCTAAGTGCTGTGAAGGAAGAGTTTATAATAGGAAATGTAAATTAAATATAGGGGAAGTTATTCGACATCACTAATAATTATTAAATGCAAAAAACCACAAAATCTATGTGCCATTAGGCATTTATTTAACAGTGATTTGAAAAAACACAACCCAATGTTGGAAACCCTATCTGGAATACAGGTACCTTGATATATTGCTCGTGATACAAATTGCTAACATCCCTTTGAAGGGTAAACCGGCCATATATAGCCAAGTTAGAATTTAACTCAGCAGTCACACTCCTGTTAATTTTTCTTAAGGAAATCAGTTCAAAAGTAAAAATCAATATATACACAGACCTTTTGTTTGTTTTGTTTTGTTTGAGAGGAAGTCTCTCTCTGTTGCCCAGGCTAGAGTGCAGTGGCATTGTCATAACTCACTGCAACCTCCAATTCCTGGGCTCAGGCATCTTCCTGAGTAGCTGGGACTACAGGGATGCACCACCACGCCTGGCACAAGGACTTTAATATAATATTTATCACCAACCAGAAAAATCTATATAAAATTTCAAATTAGTAATCCTAGCACTCTGGGAGGCGGGCGGATTGCTCGAGGTCAGGAGTTCGAAACCAGCCTGAGCGAGACCCCGTCTCTACTAAAAATAGAAATAAATTAATTGACCAACTAAAAATATATATACAAAAAATTAGCCAGGCATGGTGGTGTATGCCTGCACTCCCAGCTACTCGGGAGGCTGAGGCAGTAGAATCACTTGAGCTCAGGAGATTGAGGTTGCTGTGAACGAGGCTGATGCCACGGCACTCACTCTAGCCTGGGCAACAAAGTGAGACTCTGTCTCAAAAAAAAAAAAAAAAATTCAAATTATATCTACTCTATGGAGTATTTTCTGCTCACTAGGAAATATTAATATCAAGTCTATGTAATAGTTTCATGACAGGTGTTTTTGGGGGAAAACTTAACAGAACTGTATACATTGTAATTTTAGTTACAGTGTAAACTGTGTAAGAAGGGACAATATTGGGAGTGTAACAAGGAGAAGTAAAAACATTTGTGTTAACTGGTAGAATTATAGGTAAAATTTGTTTATTTTAAATAAAGTTTTAGTTTTATTTGACTTCAACTTTAAAGCTTTCCCTCTCTTTCAGGTCTTTTTGCCTGGCTTTTTGTCCAGCAATCTTTATTATAAATATTTGAATGATCTCATCCATTCAGTTCGAGGAGATGAGTTTCTAGGAGGGAGTGTTCCACTGGCTGCCCATGGTTCTGTTGGCCTTCCTGACGAATCTAATGTAGGCGGTTCTGACAGCTCTGCTTCTCAGGTATTGCCTAATTTGCATCTGCTGTTTGAAAGAAAGACGTACAGATCCTTTCCTTCAAATACCAGTAATAGGCCCTCCTTTAAGTTTTAAGTTGTAGGAACAAAAGAGAAATTAAATTAGCCTACTTGCTGTATATTCTGATCAAAGTATTTGTGATGATTAACAATATATTGTATTGTAAAGTATTATGCTGTTTCATTCAGGCCATTATTCTGCTTGCCACTGGCTGTTTCTCTTAATAATCAAATAATATGAAATACATTTATAGCCTCTGAAGAGCTCTTTCAGTAATTATTTGAGAAACTTTAATTATTAAATTTAAAATGCTTTTTTATAGAATTGAGTGAACTATTAGGTTTCTTAATATTATATTTCACTGAAAGCCTTTTGATTTCATTTTGAACCAGAGTGCCACATTTTACATTTCCTTAACTTTTTTTGTTTTTTCAGAGCACTTCATATATTAAACCTTACCTGATTTCACCTCAAAATCACATGAATTGGGATATCCCCAAGACAAGAGATCTGAGGAGAAGGCATTAAAAAATTAATTAATTTTATTAAAGTCACACAGTTAAGTGGTGGGACCAGAAATATTTCCCATCTAGTGTTCTTCACCAAAAACTTAATAATATAGCATTATAATTTTCTCATCACTATTGACAAATAAATTACTCTTTGAATTTTTTGATATTGAACCTTAGATAAGTTTTTTTAGTTTGTAAGATAGTACTTTCAATTTATAAGATAGTATTGCCGTCAGTAAAGCTCTCCTTAGTACCTTGTCTTACTAGTAAGTTTACATAGGAGGTGACCTGCTGCATATGGTCACCATTTTATTTTTTGATATAACTTACAATGTCTTATTTTTATTTAGGTGCTAAAAAGGTCTAGGTGCTAACCATAAAATATATTTTTATACTTTTTATTAAAGTACACTATGCATACAGAAAACTGAACATATCATAACTATGTATACCTTTAAGAATTTTCACAAACACCAGGCAACATACAAGACCCTGTCTCAAAATTAAAAAAAAAGATTTTCACAAAACTAAGCCATGGTAACCAGCATCCAGCACATTATCAGCATACCAGAACCCTCTTGAGCACCCCCTTTCCTGTCACCGTCTTTCTCCCTGACAGGGTAGCTACTATCCTGACTTTTGAAGGCATAGATAAGCACTACCTGTTCTTGTCATTTTATAAATGAAATCATATTATATATTCTTTTTTGGAACATGTTTTCACTCAAAAAAGAAACCTCATTTACTTTAACTCCAAATCCCCCACTCCTCTAGCTCTAGGCAACCAATCTGAGTTTTTTTGTTTCTGTGGAAATAATAGATGTGTCTGTGTTAGACATTTCACATAAATAGAACCATATACTATGTGGTCTGTTGTGACTGACTTCTTTCAGTTAGCATCATGTTTTCAAGGTTCATGCACGATTAGCAAGTGTCAGAACTTTATTCTTCTTTATGGTCAAATAATCCCATTGTAATGATACCACATTTTGTCTATGGGCAGTTGACTTGTTCCTTCCTTTCTGCTATAATGAATGATGCTGCTGTGAACATTTGTGTACAGATTTTTTTGTAATGTTTTCATTTCTCTTGTTCTTTACACCCAGGAATAGCATTGCTTGGTCAAGTAATAGCTATGTTTGACTTTTTAAAAAACTACCAGACTATTTTTCAAAATGGCCGCCCTATTTTGTAATCCCACCAGCAGTATAAGAGGTTTACAATTTCTCCACATCTCACCAGAAAATATTATCTATCTTTTTGATCATAGCCATCCCAGTGGCTACAAAGTTCTATCTAATTGTAGTTTTTATTTGATTTTCCTTGATGACTAATGATATTGACCACATTTCATGTGCTTATTGGTCTTTTTTCTTTTTGGAGAAATGTTTTTTCAAAATTTGCCCATTTTTAAATTGGATTTTTTGTCTTTTTATTATTGAGTTACAGAAGTTCTTTATATATTTTAGGTACATGTCCCTTATGAAGCATATGATTTGCAAATATTTCTCCATTCTACAAACTGTCTTTTTACTATTAATAATGCCCTTTGAAACACATTTTTCATTTTGATGAAGTCTAATTCATCTATTTTTCTTTTGTTGCTTGTGCTTGTGATGTCATGTCTATGAAACCATTGCCAAATCCCCAGTCATTAAGATATATCCCCATATCTTCTTCTAAAAATTTTATCTTGCACACTTAGGTTTATCATCTATTTTGAATTAATTTTTATGTATAGTGTGAGGTAGGTATCCAACTTCATTCTTTTGCATGTAGATATCCAGTTCTAGCACCATTTGTTGAAAAGACTATTGTTTCCCCATTGAATAGCTTGGCACCCTTGTTAAAAAATCAATGTAAGGGTGTATTTCTGGATTTTCAGTTCTATTCCATTGATCTTTATGTGTATCCCTATGTCAGTACCATACTCTGTTGATTACTGTTGCTTTGTAGTAAGTTTCAAAATCAGGAAGTGAGAGTCTTCCAACTTAATTCTTTTTCAAGATTGTTTTTGCTATTCAGGGTCTCTTAAGTTCCATTTGAATTTTAGGATCAATTGTCATTTTCTACAAAGAAGCCCCCTGGGATTCTGATAGGAATAGTGTCGTTGACTCTGTAGTTCATTCCTAAGTATTTTTTAAATTTGTTTTTAGTTTAATTTCTAAGTGTTTTTGATGCTGTTATAAATGGATTTATTTTCTTAATTTCATATTCAAATTGTTCATTGCAAGAATGTAGAAATGCAATTAATTTTGTTATTGAGGTAAAATTTACTCAACATAAATTTAACCATTTTAAATTGTACAATTCAGTGGCATTTAGTATATCCACGGTGTTGTGCACCCATAACCACTATCTAGTTCCAGACTTTTTCGTTACACCAAAGAGAAACCTCATGCCCATTAAGCAGTCACTCACCACTTCCCTCCCTCTCCTTAGATCCTCCGCACAACCACTAACCTGCTTTTCTCTTTATGAATTTGCCTATTCTGGATGTTTCATATTGATGGAATCATACAATATGTGACTTTTTTGTGTCTGGCCTCTTACCCTTAGGATAATGTTTGATGTTTTTGTGGTTCATCCGCGTTGTAGCATGAATCAATATTTCAGTCCTTTTTTTGGATGAATAATATTCCATACCACATTTTATTCATCTTTTGAGTTGTTTCTACCTTTTGACTATTGCGAATAGTGCTGCTATGAACATTTGTGCACACGCTTTTGAATACCTGTTTTCAGTTCTTTTGGGTGTATACCTAAAAATGGAAATACTGGGTCATTCTATGTTTAATGTTCAAGAAATTGCCCTACTGTTTTCTATTGCATCTATACTGTTTACATTCTCACTATCAATGTACAAACGTTTCAGTTTCTGTATACCTTTGGCAATGCTTGTTATTGTCTATATTTATGATTATAGCCATCCTAATGGGTATGAAGTAGTATCTCCTTATGGTTTTGGTTTGTATTTCCCTGATGACTAATGATACTGCGTGTCTTTGCATTTGCTTGTTGACTATTTGTATACCTTTTTTGGAGAAATGTCTACTTAAATCCTTTGCCCATTTTAAAAATTGGAATGTCTTTTTGTTGTTGAGCTGTAAGAGGTTTTTTGTTTGTTTTTTCTGAATAGTAGAGCCTAATTAGATATATGATTTGCATATATTTTCTCCAGTTCTATAGGTTGCCTTTCACTTTCTTGAAAGTGTCTTTTGAAGCACAAAAGTTTTTAATTTTTATGAAGTCCAGTTTATCTGTTTTACTTTTGTTGCATGTACTTTTGGTGTCATGTCTAAGAACCCTTGCAAAATCTAAGGTCATGAAGATTTACAGATCCCTATGTTTTCTTCTAAGAGTTTTTGGTCTTTGATCCAGTTTGAGTTAGTTTTATATGTTGTGTATGTTGTGTGAGGTAGAAGTCCAACTTTGTTATTTTGCATGTGCATATCCAGTTGTCCCAGCACTATTTGTTGAAAAAAACTATTTTTTCACCATCGAATGGTCTTGGTACCCTTCTCAAAATTCAATTGACCATAGATGTATGGATTTATTTCTGGACTCTCAATTCTATTTCAATGATCTATATGTCTGTCCTTATGCCAGTACCACATTGTTTTGATTACTATAGTTTTGTAGTAAGTTTGTAATCAAGAAGTGTATGTCCTCCAACCTTTTTTATTTTCAAGATTGTTTTGGCTAATTTTTATATATTGATCTTGTACTTTCAACTTTGCTAAAGTTGTTTGTTAGCTCTAATAGTTTTCTATTCTTTAAGATTCTTTAAGATATATATATATATGATTTATTTATAAATATATAAATAAAAGATCATGTCATCTGCGAAAAGAGATAGTTTTCTTTCTTCCTGTCCACTTTGGATGCCTTTGATTTCCTTTTCTTGCCTAATTACTCTGACTAGAACTTCTAGTACAAGGTTGAATAGAAGTGGCAAAAGTAGGCGTCTTTGTCTTATTCCTGATCTCACAAGGAAAGCTTTCCATTTTCATCATTTAATATGATGTTACATGTGGGTTTTAATAAATGCTCTTTATCAGGTTGAGGAAATTCTCTACTAATCCTAATTTTTTTAGTGTGTGTGTGTTTGGTTTTTTTTTTTTTTTTTTTTTTTTTCATCACAAAAGAGTATTGGATTTTGTCAGATGTTCTTTCTGTGTCAAGATGATCATATGGGTTTGGGGTTTTATTCTGTTGATAAAATGTATTAATTGATTTTCAGATGTTGGTCATGGTGTATAATCCTTTCTATATGCTGCTGAATTCAGTTTATTAGTATTTTGTTCAGGATTTTGTATCTGTACTCAAAAGATTATACTTTAACTCCATCAAAAATCAATTGACCATAATTGGGAAGGGTATATTTATAGATTCTCAATTCTGTTCCATTGATCTGTATGTCTGTAGAGAGTTCTATAAGTGTCTAGTCAAGTATTTTATTTGTTAATATTTAACCTATCCCTTAGCCGTGGATATTAAGCTTGTTCCTGTCTTTTGCTATTTTAAAAAATCCTGCAGGGAATAATCTTGTATATAAGCATTTTACTTAAGTGTGAGTCTGTCTGTAATTGAATTTTTAGAAATGGAATTTCTGAAATTCATGGCTATATATTTCATAGAAGTACCATTTCTGACTTGCTTTTCTTGGGGTTAGGGAATAGGGGGTAGAATGTGGAGGGGAACTTACTCTACTCAGCTAGCTAGTCATTTTAAAAAGATTTCTTTAGCTTCTTTACTCTCACACTGCCTCACTGAGAATCAGAAACATTCATGTTTACTCTCTAAAAATTGGACTTTACATTTATTAGCCAAGACACATGTGGATATATAGATGAGAGTTTCGCGCACTGGGGAAATAATGCCTGTGAGGACGAGCATTCGTTGGAACTTAGGTCATTAAGAGAACATATTTGGCATATAAATGTGTATGTTATACATGCTAATATTGTGCTTTCCTCTTGTGATTATAGTTTGAGGTTACATTTCAGAATCATTTCCGTTAAGCATCTCAGTAGTAATGGGGTTGAATGAAAACTACATGTATTTCAAACACCAAAGAAAATTTTGTATAAATCTGTCATATTCCAAACCTGGAACTGATTTGTTTCCTGAATCATACACTACTACTAATTTTATAATTCTTTCTGTAGTCCAGTATGAAAAAGGCCAGTATTAAAATATTGAAAAATTTTGATGAAGCGATAATTGTGGATGCTGCAAGTTTGGATCCAGAATCTTTATATCAACGGACATATGCAGGGTAAGCTTAGCTCATGTCTAGAATTTTTACAAGTGTAAAGAATTTTGCATTTTTCTAAATTTTTAACTAAATTTTCTATTTTTTCTAATCTATTCTTAAATGCCCAGCACTTAGACTTATTAATAGCGTGCAGTATAAAGTGGTGGTTAAGAGTCAAGGCTCTGGAGTGACTTTTTGGGTTTTAATTTTGGCTCCACCACTTATGGCAAGCTGCTAAACTTCTTGGTGTCTCAGTTTTTTCATCTATGAGAATAATATTACTACTTCATTAGGTTATTGAGGTAATTAGATGAGATAATACCCCCCAAAAGCATTTAAAACATTACCTGATACCTGTAAGCACTCCATGAATTTCATTACCATTGTTATTCCACCACCATATATAACATTGATGAGTAGTATTGTTATGTTTTAGGCTGTCTCTTGCACATTTCTTTTGATTCACATGTTAGCTATTTCAAAGTCTTAGTCTTAAAAGATACCAACATCACTTATTGTGGCTACATAACTAATACTTGGAAAATGGAATAAAATTATTCCTTTGTATTTAAGAATTCAGTTGGTTGTTCATTTTAGCCTGTACCAAAAAGGCAGTGATAAATAGGATATGCTACTTACTGAAATTCACCACAGATCAAATCATAAGATTACTTCTGCTACCCTAAAGATGCCTTGGATATTAGCACATAAACCTGTGCAAAAGGCTCGATCACCCCACCCCATCCCCCATCCCATTCCTGGCAGTACCATGAAAAAGGGAAAGTACTTGGAAGGAAATGAAAGGTGGTTTGACCATGTCTTTGGAAAGCACACTTAAGCCATGTCAGCTTTATGGTAATCTTTATTCTTCTTTAAGAAAATGGTAGACAATAAGCCTAAATGAGTTAATTCCCAAAGGTGATGTTTATTCTTAAGGAATGGTTCATTTATTTAAAACTGTACGTAAGAAAGTCTATCAATTGTGAGATGTTAAACTTCTATAGGATTTTTTTGTACAAAGTAAATGTATATTTTTTTTAATTTATAGAATTGGTAAGAAAAGAGAAGTGATTTTTCTTCATTGTCTTTAAAGATGGTTTTCAGTGTTTATTTTAGTTTTACGGTTTTGGCTTCTTCCCAAAATTTTTCTCAAGGCAAATAAATTTGTATCAGTTGGTGTATTGGCACCCATATATGAAACTATTAGGAACTTATTATATGAATTATAACTATATGAGTTATAATTAATATTCTATATGGAATACTACAGAATAGTTAAAATGAGATAAGTTTGTGTAGACAACTCACTATGAATGAAAGCACAATATATAGAATAGGGTATAATATATATCAGTTACAGAAAAACAAACAGCCAAAAATGGGAACTTATTAGGAAGGATATCTATAAAATAAGATCTATTTTGCCTGAAATAAAATAATATATAGATGCCGCAATTTTTTTTCTTTTAACTTTTAATTACAAATACAGTTATTATAAAAAATAAATTTACAGATAAGTTTAATGTCCTCTTTGAGCATATGCCAATGCATATTTTCTCCCCTTTCTATTCAGGGTAATCATTGTTATTTTATGCATTTCTGGTTGTTTTTTCTGTAACTGATATTATACCCTATTCTATGTATTGTGCTTTCATTCATAGTGAGTTGTCTACACACACTTATCTCATTTTAACTATTCTGTAGTATTCCATATAGAATATTAATTATAACTCATAACTGTAGCAAAGTATTCCATAGTGTGTTGTGTTACTGTTTAGCCATTTTCATATTGATGAATATTTAAGTTATTTGCAATTTTTCCCTATTATACACAGTATTACAAAGGACCTCCTTTTATATGCTTTCTATGATTGGGCCACTGTACTCCAGCCTGAGTGACAAAGTGAGACCCTGTCTCAAAAAAAAAAAAAAAAAAAAACAAACTTTTAATTTATTTTTCCAATCTTGGATTATTGCCATTGAAATTGAGCTTCTTTTAGAATGTTTTTTGGTTATTGTTATTTTTTTTTATGGATTATCTATTCATCTTTTTTCTCATTTTTCTGCTGGGTGATTTATTAGTGACTTACTGGAGTTCTATTTGTTTTTGGATATTAATCCTTGGTAAAATATCTTAATATCTTAAGAATACGATATCTTAAAAGTAAGACATCTCACTGTGTTTTCTCCCTTTTAGCTTTCCTTTATATTACTATAGTGTGTGTGTATTTGTGTGTGTGTGTATGTATATATATGTATATAAAAGTATAGTTTTATGGTATATTTTGATCATTATTAGAACAAGTTCTACCTTTTTGTTTCTTCTTTTACAAAATTGTCATGGCTGTTTTTGTGCCCTTTCTATGTGAATTTTAAAATTGTGAATTACCTGTTAACTCACCATGTTTCATAAACCTTTTGGGGATTTTGAATGGAATTGCTTTGAATTAAGGATTATTTGGCCGGTTGTGGTGGCTCACGCCAGTAATCCTAGCATTCTGGGAGGCCGAGGCGGGCGGATTGCTCGAGGTCAGGAGTTTGAAACCAGCCTGAGCAAGAGCCAGACCCCGTCTCTACTCTAAATAGAAAGAAATTAATTGGCCAACTAATATATACAGAAAAACTTAGCCAGGCATGGTGGCGCATGCCTATAGTCCCAGCTACTCAGCAGGCTGAGGCAGGAGGATTGCTTGAGCCCAGGAGTTTGAGGTTGCTGTGAACCAGGCTGATGCCACGGCACTCACTCTAGCCTGGGCAACAAAGTGAGACTCTGTCTCAAAAATAAATAAATAAATAAATAAAGATTATTTTACTTTCTGTGGAGGAAGGTTTCATTTCAAATAAGCCCCATTTTAAATAATATGGGATAGCTATAAATTGTGTTTCTAGCTTTCTGGGTTTAGAAATGCTTAAAACTGATTATTTTTTCTTCTAAATTTAAGACTGGTTGTTAGAAATTATATTCTTCTTTTCATTCTTTATATTCTTCTTTTCATTCTTACTTAGGAAGATGACATTCGGAAGAGTCAGCGACTTGGGGCAATTCATCCGAGAATCTGAGCCTGAACCTGATGTAAAGAAATCAAAAGGTTTGTGGTGTTTTTATATTCCATATTAAGCCTTTACTCACAGTATTCATTGACTGTAGTAAAGGACCATTTAAGGTTCAGACTGTTTTATTTTGTGAGCTAACCACTGTACCTTTCACCCTGTGTTCATAGTCGTAAGTGAGGACAGTACAGCTTTCCTATAATCGCATCTCTATAAAATCTCTTCTTCTGAATCACAAGTTGTTGAACTTGCTTCACCACTACAGAAGGCACATCAATATGAAAAAATATTGGTTACCTTTTTATTTAATGGCAAAATGCCCAATCCAGGTTGGACTTGAGGTTTATCTTGAGGTCCTTTATGTTATTAAATTTCTTCAAAGTCACTGAAAATGAAATATATGTGGAAAATATTAATAGATTGAAATACAAATGGTTACTTTGTTTAATCAGCAGAAGACTGGTTTGGGCAAGTCTAAGAGTGAGACACAGAAATCTTTTTTTTTCTTAGATTTAATCTTTAAATCTCCTAGATAGCTTGTTAAAATACAAGAAATTTTTTGTGACCAATTTTAGCTTCCAAACAATTGATTTACACAGGAAAATTTTGGAAGTAAATGCAAATTCAATCAAATGGTACATACACCTTTTCGGTATGGTTGAATTGACAGTAATAGCTTGAGTAAAAGATACTGACTTTTGTAGGAAGAATGCACTCCTTTTTTTTTTTTTTTTGAGACAGAGTCTCACTCTGTCACCTGGACTAGAGTGCTATGGCATCAGCCTAGCTCAGAGCAGCTTCAAACTCCTAGGCTCAAGTGATCCTCCTGCCTCAGCCTCCCGAGTAGCTGGGACTACAAGCATGTGCCACCATGTCTGGCAATTTATTTATATATATATATTTTTTTAGTTGTCCAGCTAATTTCTTTGTATTTTTTTAGTAGAGACAAGGTCTCGCTCTTGCTCAGGCTGGTCTCAAACTCCTGAGCTCAAATGATCCTCCCACCTTGGCCTCCCAGAGTATTAGGATTACAGGCGTGAGCCACCACATCTGGCCATAAGCACTCCATTTTGATAAGTGTGTTTAAAATTAAGAGCTATTGTCAATCTTTCTGTTGAATTTAATAGGATACATTCTTGTTATATTTATTTTTTTTAATGCAACTATTGTTTGGGTAATAAATTGTACCACTTTATTTTGATGAAAGATCTACTTTTTGGTCAGATATACATTGATAGAGTAAGCAAAAAATGTAACAGTTGTTGATTCAGACCCAAAAAGGGTCTGTTACCTAGTTGACCTTATTTATCCAAATAATTGATTTTCTTTCCTGTTTTGCCAGAGAAGTCTCAGGTGCACAGTTGGGAAGAATGTAAAGACTAAAGGGATATCTACACAGTTCATTCAGTAAATAATTTTTGCATTGCTCTCTGCATAATTACATTCACAGGGCAGTTTAGAAGATACAGATCTTGCCATCAAGAAACTTACAGTCTAGTAGTTATATGTCTTATTTTGGGTAGAAGAAGAATACTGGGAAGAGAGATCAGTGGTGGTGTTGGAATAGAGGAAGTGCCAGATGACCTCTGTAAGGGATTGGCTAGGAAGGACTGACAGTATATAGTGTCATTAGGTAGCTTCTGTCAATGCGGATAATGGGGTCTCCTCTCCAGTATTAACTAAATCTCTGAGCCGTTTGGTTTTTTAAAAATCTGGTCTTATACCTTTGGTAGCTAATGAAGACGTGCCACTTGTCCATATAGATAGGCGTTAGGTATAGTCATAAGTGTTAGGTGTTTACAGGTATATTATGAGTAAAGATATGCAAGAAACTTTCCCAAACCACTCTCTGTGTTAAATCTATTAATTCAGTCTCTACATGTTATTTTCATTTATTCTAAATAATAATGGAGTGCCTACTATATGCATCTACTATTTTAGATGCTGGGAAGAAAACAAAGTTCCTGTTCTCATGGAAGTTGACATTATAGTGGAGGAGACTGTAGATAGATAAGCACATATGACGTGTACATGTGTTTATATATGTAGGGGTAGGATGCTACAAGAGAGTAGTGGGGAGTTCTGTTTTAGAGATGCTTGTCAGGAAAGGCCTCACTGAGGTAGCATTTTGACTGCAGACCTGAGCACAGTGCAAGAGTGAGCCTGGCGATACCTGGAAGAAGAGTGCTTTTGGTGGAAGGAACAGGGTAGAGGCCTGAAGCCAGAGAGCTCAGCGTGATTGAGGGGCAGAAGGCCCAGTGTGGCTGGAGTGGAGCAAGCAAAGGGATGAGTGGTAGTGGAAGGTGAGTAAGCTGGGAGATCACCAGAGACCGTGGCAAGGACTTGAAAGTGTTGAGGACACATTGGAAGTTGGAGCAGGGAGTGATGTGATGTAACTTATGTTTTCAAGGTATTGCTTTGGTAGCTGTTTAGAAAATAGAATGTAGAGGGTCAAGAGGAGAAGCAGGGAAACAACATTCTTGCCATAGTCTAAGGGATGATGGTGGTCATGGCTTAAGCTGGCAGTGGAAGAACAGTTCGATTTGGCTTATATTTGAAGGTAGAAGCAACAGGATTATATCTCTACTGGCAAGCCTGTCCATTAAGTTATTTGCATTATTAATTTAATTGGGACATGCCTATATATTTTTTATTTTTTTGAGACAGAGTCTCACTTTGTTGCCCAGGCTAGAGTGAGTGCCGTGTCATCACCCTAGCTCACAGCAACCTCAATCACCTGGGCTCAAGCAATCCTGCTGCCTCAGCCTCCCGAGTAGCTGGGACTACAGGCATGCGCCACCATGCCCGGCTAATTTTTTCTATATACATTTTTAGTTGGTCAATTAATTTCTTTCTATTTATAGTAGAAACGGGGTCTGGCTCTTGCTCAGGCTGGTTTCAAACTCCTGACCTTGAGCAATCCGCCCGCCTCAGCCTCCCAGAATGCTAGGATTACAGGTGTGAGCCACCACGCCCGGCCGAGACATGCCTATATAAAGTAATGAATAGGACTTTCTGCAGTTTGGTTGAACACATCCGTATGTGCTGGTGCTTCCTTTAGTTGTCTAGACTTCTCTTTAAGATAAGTATTTTTTGTTAGTGTAGGAGCCTAGAGATTAAATTCATTCCCTCCAGGTAGCATTTGATTCATATGTGCTAGGCATGGTGGTAAATACCAAGGATACAAACAAGAGGGTGTCATTTCAGTCTGCTTTACTCAAGCAAGGTTCCTTTTTAATGACCCTCACTTGGTAAGCACATCAGGCTAGTTATCCTACAGAATGCTCAACCTTCTAGATTTTCCATGTTGTGTTATTTAATTTAGCTTATTCCTCTCTCCCCTGCATATGTTGCAAACTGGAGTTATACCTAAAGTCTTGATGATACATGTTACACATTTTTAGTTAGAAGACATCATAGATGATGTTGTATATGGTGTTTTTAAAGGCTTTCCATTTATTAGTGTATTCATTAAAAGATTTCCTGAAAGGATACCCCAAATTTCAACAGGAATTACTTTAAGGATAAGAAGGAGGAGGTACCTTTTACTTTTCATTTTACCCTTTTCCTTTACTGTTTGAATTTTCTTGCCCTGTGTATACTTTACTGCTTAATCATCCACCCCATCCTTTCTCCATGGCTTCCTACTGCAGTGGAATAAAATCTAGCCTCTTTGTCATGACCTTACCTTGAACCACTCTTCCTTTCACAGACTGAGCTCTAGTTGGACTATCCTTTATTCTTTTTTAAAGGTTTCTTCCCTTTTAGGGCCTCTACAGTTGCTGTTTCCCCTGCCATGGCTTTTGCGTAATAACTGTCTCCTCCTCCTCCTCTCACTGTTATCTGTTCAGAGAGACCTGCCCATCCCATGCGATCTAAAAGCATCTGTGCCATTGCCACTTCTTTATTTTCTTACTCACTGTCTGAAACTATCTTGTTCATTTATTTGCATACTAATTTATCATCTGTTTCCTTTTTTTTCCTCCCCTCCCCTCCTTTCCCCTCCCCTCCCCTCCCTTCCCCTCCCTTCTCCTCCTCTCCTTCTTTTGAGACAAAGTCTCACTCTGTTGCCTGGGCTAGAGTGTCATGGCATCAGCCCAGCTCACAGCAACCTCAAACTCCTGGACTCAACCGGTCCTCCTGTCTCAGCCTCCCAAGTAGCTGGGACTACAGGCACACACCACCATGCCCGGCTAAGTTTTTCTATTTTTAGTAGAGACGGGGGTCTCACTCGCGCTTAGGTTAGTCTCGAACTCCTGAGCTTGAGTGATCCTCCTGCCTTGGCCTCCCAGAGTGCTAGGATTACAGGCGTGAGCCACCACACCCAGCCTATAGTCTGCTTATTTTTCATGACTAGATTGTTACCTCTGTTACCTCTATTGAGGGAAAAGAATCAAGATTTTGTATTTTTCATGAATGCTATATGCATAGTCCTATCCCAGTTTTAATCAGGACCTTGCCTTAAGAAATAATGTCCTGATAGTAATTCACTTGGTTTAAGGCAAAGTTAGGAAGTGAGCCTATTCAAATTATTAAATAAAAGGATAAGCTATGTATTTCATTCATAGAAATGGAGGCTAGCCTACTTTCTTGGTAATTTCTCAGCATGTGGTTACAGATGTAGGCTTTTATGTCCTGGGAAGTTGAGGTATATTATGGCTTGGGTAGAGTATGACCACTTTTTTTTTTAGACAAGGTTTTGCTATATGTTGCCTAGGCTAAATTCAGAAACTCCTGACCTCAAACCATCCTCCTACCTTAGTCTCTGAATAGCTGGGATTACAGGCGTGAGCCACTGCACTTAACGTGAGAGTATGGCTATCTAAAAAAAACTCTACTCTCACCCAGTTGATTTCTACAGACCAGAGATCCAGCTTGTAACAGCATAATCTGTACTAGAAGCCCTTTCAAATGGAAGCTGGTCTGGAAGGTTTCAAAGCAAAACAAGTGGATTGATGTCTTCAAGTGGATTGGTAGAGTCTTACCTAAGACCACAAATCCTTGCCACAAATCTAACACTAGGAGATCGTTTCTTTCATAAAGTGAGAAGAATGGAAGAAAAATCCAGAACTCTAAAACAGCTTTTCAGATGTTTTTCAAACCATGATGTTTGCAAATTAAATACTCTGTTATGGATGCAATTTAATCAGTTTTTATTTGTGGTAATATTCCTTAATGTTTTGTATGAGGTCACAGATGAAAAGAATATCTATGTCTGGAAGTAGCAGCTTTTAAAAAAGAGCATTTTTAAATGTAAAATTATGCATGAAATATAAATTCAATTTTGGCTTTGTTTACTAGGATCTATGTTCTCACAAGCTATGAAGAAATGGGTGCAAGGAAATACCGATGAGGTAAATTCTACTTTTAGTATAAAGAGATTTCTGTTTATAATTGCCACCCTTGTCTAAGGTTTTAAGTTTTCTCTTTCTTTAATTCCCATTTTTAAGCAGCATGGCACAGCAGTGCTCCCTTATCCATGATGTAACAATAAAGCGTGGGTCCTTCTTAGCATCCAACAACTGTCTGGTGGTGGTAGTAAAAGGCATCTTCAGTCCAGAGACGATGGCCACTTAAGGATATCCACACATTCAGATTTCCATCATCAACCAGCAGGCCTCAGTAATCAGTGCAGAACAGAAGCACAAATGTTTCCTTCCCCACTATCAATTTTACTTTTAGAAGTAGATGCTGGCTAAAAAAGACAAAAGAAAAGAAACAAAAAGTAGATGCTGCTGCTTTTTTTTTTTTTTTTAATAGTTAAGTGAGTGCATTGAGAGATAGGAGTTGAAAAAGGAAATGTTTTATTTTGACCACCTAACATAAAAGTAGTCACATTGAGTACCCAATAGCTGACTCTGGAAGACAGTGAATGATATGTTTATATAGCATAGCCACAGTGTGGCCCAGATTCTTTCATAAATGGGAATGTACTTCTTGATCCAAATAAATAGAAATGATATGCACATACCATTGTATTTAGAGTACTAATTACATATGCATCTTGATCCTTCTAATGAATAACCATTATCAACAATTTAAATTACTTCCTTTAGGCCCAAGAAGAGTTAGCTTGGAAGATTGCTAAAATGATAGTCAGTGATGTTATGCAGCAGGCACAGTACGATCAACCATTAGAGAAATCTACAAAGGTAAGGATGACTTGTGTTATAAACTAGTTTGTGTAAAACTGAAAAGTATTATTTTCCAGGTATATAGAAATATAAAAGGATATAAGGGGCTTCTGTGTCTGCCTTTGAAGGATTAACTGCTGTGGGGATTGCCTTCTCATCATAAGCAACTAGAAAACTGACAAACTAAATGAAATAACTATAATCTTGAAAGAAGAGTAACATTGAAGTGATCCCTAGCTTACTGCCTAAAAAGAGTTTCCAAAGTGTAGAGAAGGGGAAACCAAACAAATTCCAAAGTTTGGAGAGCCTTATGACTAGAAGTTATAGGACAAGGTACCAGAAAAGAGGGAGCTACCCAGAAGCAGAGCTACAGGGATATTTAGGACTCTCGAGTCCTTGGCCAAGTACTGATCTGTATATATGTGAGCTGAAAATGCATATGTCTAGGGAAAGAACCCCCAGACATTTGTAGGCAGAATACCTGGAACATGGAGCTAGGAAAGTTTGTGACCAGAAGGAGCTGGCCAGAGTAGACAGACTTTGTAAGACACAAGGCATTGGGTAATGTCCTCACAAAGATCATGCCTTACTTCTGGAGCTAAATTAGTCCTAAAGTACCTAAACCAAGTTTAAAAGCTTTGAAAGGATCAAACTGCACTCTGTAAGTAACAAGCACATGCCAAAACAAAAGCCAGCCCTCATTAAAGGAACATAAGGAACACAACAAAATTCAACACTCCACAGTGTAGTTACAATGTCTGACATCCAGTCAAAAATTACCAACCATGCAAGGAAGCAGAAAAACTTGACCTGTAATCAGGGGAAAACTCAATCTCTAGTAGCAGACCCAGAAGTAAGAAAGATGGTGAATTTAGCAAAGCCCATAAAACGATTGCTTTAAATATGAATAGTATATTCAAGAATGTCAAGGAAAACATGAATATAATGAGAGAAATAGAAGATAGTTTAACCCAAATGAGTTTCCTTGGAATAAAAAATATTGGAAATGAAAAATATGGAGAACTTCTGGAAAAAGAAAAAAATAAATTTAAAAAACAAGAAAGATAAAAAATACATTGTATGGGATTAACAGCTGATTAGAAACCATGGAAAAAAAGATCAGTGAAAAACAGCAGAAACTATCCAAAATGAAGCACAAACAGAAAAAATACTAGAGGGAAAAGAACAGATCCTCTATGAACTATGGGGTAACACCAAACCATCTAACATATGTAATTTCAGTTCTGGACAAAATTATACAGAAAAAAATTATGCACAAAAAGACATGAAATGATGATCAAAAATTTTCCAAATTTGATGAAAACCATAAACCCATTGATCCAAAAGGCTCACCAGACCACAAGCGAAATAAACATAAACACACCAAGACACATCATACTCAAGTTGCTGAAAGCCAGTAATAAAGAGAAAAATTTTTTGTAAATACCCAGAGAAAGAGATATATTACCTACAAAAATAAGAATGATAAGTATTCTTGCTAGAATCTAGCCACGCCAGAAGAGAGCTGAGCCAACACTTTTTAAAGTACCCCAAAACAAATACTCAACCCAAAAGTGAAAATATGTTGTAAAAAAGAAGCTAAAATGAAGGCTTTTATCAGTCAAAACAAAAGTTTAGAGAATTCTTTACCAGCAGATCTACAATTAAATCTTAAAGTTCTTTAGGAAGGACGGAATAATACAGATAGAAATTTCATCTATACAAAATAAGTGGTAAATAGATGAGTAAATGTAGATGATTCTTTTCTCATTTTTAAATATAAGAGATAATTAAAGCAAAATAATAGCAATGTGTCTCGCAGTACACAACAGACATAGAAGTTAAATGTATGACAATAATGACACAAAGGGAGAAATGGAAGTAAACTGTTATAAGGTTCTTACACTAAATGTGAAGTGGTATAATGTTATTTGAAGGTATAGTGTGATAAGTTAAAGGTGTACATTGTAAACCTTAAGAGAAAATACTAAAAACAGGATTAGCAAACAAGCCAGTAGTGAGAGAAAAATCAAACCATAAAAAATACTAAATTCACAAGATGCAAGAAAAGAAGAAAAAAGGAAGAACAAACAAATGGAATAAATGGAAGACAAATAGCAAGATGATAGATTTAAACCAACTCAGGTGTGTAATCCCAGCATTTTGGGAGGCCAACACAGAAGGATCGCTTGAGGTCAGGAGTTTGAGACTGGCCTGAACAACGTAGCAAGATCCCTTCTGTACTAAAAAAATACAAAAATTAGCCAGGCGTCATGGCACGCACCTGTAGAACCAGTTACTCAGGAGGATTAGGCAAGAGGATCACTGGAGCCCAGGAGTTTGAGGTTACAGTGAGCTATGATGACACCACTGCACTCTACCCAGGGCGACAGAGCAAGAGTTTGTCTCAAAAAAAAAAAAAAAAGACATAAAATACTATGTTTAATGAGGAAAGACAATACTTCCTCCTAAGTGGGAACAAGGCAAGGATGTCCAGTCTACAACACTTGTCATGGAGGTCCTAGCTAGTACAGTGAGGCAAGGGGAACAAAAGGCATATAGATCGTAAAGGAAGGAGTAAAGCTTTACTTTTTTTTTTTTTTTTTTGGCAAAAAACATGATTATTTATCTGAAAATCCTGTGTTGTAGCAATTAGCAATGTATACAGATGCAGAACATTTCCTTCATGGCAGAAAGTTCTACTGGATGGCAGTATCTTAGGGAATCTACTAAAAAGCTATTAAAACTAATAAGTTTAGCAGTGTTACAGGATACAAGGTTAATTTTTTAAAAAATGAATTGCATTTCTGTATACTAGCAATTAACAGTTGTTAATTGGAAATTTAAAAAAACAATACAGTCTGGGCTTGGTGGCTTACACTTACAATCCTAGCACTTTGGTAGGCCAAGGCAGGGTTGAGGCCAGGAGTTTGAGACCAGCCTGGGCAACATAAGCAAGACCCCATCTCTATAAAATATGGGGAAAAAAAAGAGCTAGGCATGGTGGCTCACACCTATAGTCTCAGTTACTTAGGAGGCTGAGGTGGGATGATTAGTTGAGCCCAGAAGTTCAAGGTTGCAGTCAGCTGTGATCATGCCTCTACATTCCAACCTGGGTGACAGTGCCAGATCTTGTCTCTAAAAAAATTAAAAAACAATTTTTACAATAGCATCCTGAAACTTAAAGTACTTAAAAATATATTTAACCAAATATGTGCAAGATTTATACAATGTAAACTATCAAACAACTGAGCAGAATTAGAGAGTATTGAAATAAAAGCAAAAATAAATCCTGTTTGTGAATGAAAAGACTCAGTGTGGTTAAAACGCCATTTCTCCCCAAGTTGATCGATTTCGTATGATTGTAATCAAAATTCAAGCAGCTGTTTTTGTAGAAACTGAAAAGATGATCTAAAATTTCTTGGGAAATGTAAATGAACTCTAGAGTAACCAAAACATTGTGAGGGAGGAAAGGCACAAAATTAGAAAACTAACAAACTCTACCTAGCTTCACATTGACGGAAAAGCCACATGGTCAGGGCAGTGTGGAATTAGCATAAGGGTAAACATACAGATTGTTAGAACAAATAGAGATTGTGGAAGTAGGCCCACACATATGTAGGCAGTTGATTCCTAACATGTGCCAAGATAATTCAATGGGGAAAAGACCATCTTTTTTCAACTTATGGTACTGGAACAACTGGTTCTATATATGGGGAAAAAATGAACCATGGCCCTTACACCATATACAGAATTAACTCAAAATGGATCATAGACTTAAATGTAAGAACTCAAACTATACAACTCATAGGAGAAAATTTTTGTGATTTTTGGCTTAGTTAAAGATTTCTTAGATCACACAAAGCCTTAGCCATAAAAGGAAAATTGATTAATTGAACTTCAAAAGTGAAAACTTCGGCCCTTCAAAAGACACAGTTAAGAAAATGAAAAGGCAGAAATTATTCCATGTCATTGAGAAGGATGGAATCCTCCCCAACACATTTTATGAACCCTGATACCAAAACCAGAAAAGGATGCAACAAAAAAAGAAAACTACAGACCAATATCCCTTATGAATATAGATGCAAAAATTCTCAACAAAATCCTAGCCAATCAAATCCAGGTGTTTGTCAAGAAAATAATTCATCACAACCAAGTGGGCTTCATCCCAGGGATGCAGGGATGGTTTAACATACGCAAATCTATAAATGCAATTCACCATATAAACAGAAGCAAAAACAAGACCATATGATCCTCTCAATAGACGCAGAGAAAGCATTTGACAAAATTCAACACCCTTTTATGATAAGAATGCTCAACAAAATAGGCATAGACAGGGCTTACCTAAAAATGATACAAGCCATATATGACAAACCCACCGGCAATATTATACTGAATGGGGAAAAATTGAAAGCATTCCCACTAAGAACTGGAACAAGACAAGGTTGCCCACTATCTCCACTTCTGCTCAGCATAGTGCTGGAAGTCCTCGCTACAGCAATGAGACAAGAGAGCGGAATTAAGGGTGTCGAAATGGGAGCAGAAGAGATCAAACTCTCACTCTTTGCTGATGACATGATATTATACCTAGAAAACCCGAAGGATTCAACCATGAGACTCTTTGATCTGATAAATGAATTTGGTAAAGTCTCAGGATACAAAATCCATACACAGAAATCAGAGGCATTCATATATGCCAACAACAGTAAAAGTGAGAACCAAATCAAAGACTCAATTCCCTTCAAAATAGCAACAAAGAAAATTAAATACCTTGGAATATATTTAACTAAGGAGGTAAAAGACCTCTACAGGGAGAACTGTGAAACACTGAAGAAGGAAATAGCAGAGGACGTAAACAGATGGAAGAATATACCATGCTCATGGGTCGGTAGAATCAACGTTGTTAAAATGTCTATACTACCCAAAGTGACCTACAGAGTCAATGCAATCCCTATCCAAATTCCATCATCATTTTTCACAGATATAGAAAAAATAATTTTATGCTTCGTATGGAACCAGAGAAGACCCCGTATAGCAAAATCAATCCTAGGCAATAAAAACAAAATAAGAGGTATCAATTTACCAGACTTCAAACTATACTACAAGGCTATAGTAATTAAAACAGCTTGTGATTGGCACAAGAACAGGGACATTGACCAGTGGAACAGAACAGAGAACCCAGATAAAAAACCATCCTCATATAGCCAACTAATCTTCGACAAAGCAGACAAAAACATACACTGGGGAAAAGAATCTTTATTCAATAAATGGTGCTGGGAAAACTGGATAGCCACATGTAGAAGACTGAATGAAGCAAGACTCACACCTTTCACCTCTCACAAAAATCAACTCACGCTGGGTAACAGACTTGAACCTTAGGAGTGAAACTATTAGAATTCTAGAGGAAAATGTTGGAAATACTCTTCTAGACATTGGCCTAGCCAAAGAATTTATGAAGAAGACCCCAAAGGCAATCACAACAGCAACAAAAATAAACAAATGGGACCTGATCAAATTAAAAAGCTTCTGCACAGCCAATGAAACTGTCAAGAGAGCAAACACAACCCACAGAATGGGAGAAAATTTTTGCAAGCTACACATCTGAAAAAGGCTGATAACTAGAATCCATTTAGAACTCAGGAAAATCAGCAAGAAAAAATCAAACAACCCTATCAAAAAATGGGCAAAGGACATGAACAGAAACTTCTCAAAAGAAGACAGAATAATGGCCAACAAACATATGAAAAAATGCTCAACATCTCTAATCATCAGGGAAATGCAAATCAAAACCACAATGAGATCTCACTTCACTCCAGTGAGAATGGCCTTTATCAAAAAGACCCCAAACAATAAATGCTGGCGTGGATGTGGAGAGAGAGGAACACTCCTACACTGCTGGTGGGACTGCAAACTAGTTCAACCTCTGTGGAAAGCAATATGGAGATACCTCAAAGCAATACAAGTAGATCTACCATTTGATCCAGCCATTCCACTACTGGGCATCTACCCAAAAGACCAAAAGTCACTTTATGAAAAAGACACCTGCACTCGAATGTTTATAGCAGCACAATTCACAATCGCAAAGGTGTGGAAACAACCCAGGTGCCCATCAATTCATGAGTGGATTAATAAAATGTGGTATATGTATACCATGGAGTACTATTCAGCTCTAAGAAACAATGGTGATCTAGCACCTCTTGTATATTCCTGGTTAGAGCTGGAACCCATTCTGCTAAGGGAAGTATCTCAAGAATGGAAAAACCAGCACCACATGTACTCACCAGCAAATTGGTATTACTGGATCAACACCTAAGTGGACATATAGGAGTAACATTTATTGGGTGTCAGGAGGGTGGGAGGGGGGAGGAGAGGATGGGTATATACAACCACAATGAGTAAGATGTGCAACGTTTGGGGGATGGACACGCTTGAAGTTCTTACTCGAGGGGGGAGGGGGGCATGGGCAATATATGTAACCTTAACAGTTGTACCCCCATAATACGCTAAAATAAAAAAATTTTTTAAAAAAGGAAATGAAAAGGCAAGTTGAGATGAAGAGAAAGTATTTGCACAAACGAAAAGACAAGTTGAGTTGAAGAGAAAGTATTTCCAAAACATCTCATAAGAGTTGTATCCAACATATACAAAGAACTGTTAAACTCAGTAAGACCGACAGTCTTATTTTTTTATGACCAAAAGAGATGAGCAGACACTACACCAAAGAAGACATACAGATATTTGTATGCAGAGATGCCCAGCATCATTAGTTATTAGGGAAATGCAAATTAAAGTCACAGTGATATTCTACTACATACCCAGAAGAACAGCTAAAATTAAAAGGACTGACACTACCGTGTGTTGGCAAGAATGTGGAGCAGTTTGGACTCTTAATACATAGCGTGTGAGAATGCAAAATTATACAGCCACTTTGAAAACCAGTTTGCAGTTTCTCATAAATTTAAACATAAACAAGCCAGGCATTTCCTTGGGGAATCTGATGTCAGAATTTTTTTTAAGTTCTTTTTCTTTAGTTCTTTTTTTCTTTTAGTTCTTTAGTTCTTTTTAGTTCTTTTTTTCTTTAGTTCTTTTCCCCAGAGAAAACTCAACCAGTCTTCTGCCTAGAAGGTAAAGGGCAGGCAGTGAGCTTTACAGGAGCCAAGCAAGACAAAGCTAGAGGGGACTCAATATTCCTTATATTTAACCCTCCTTAATCCCCTGTTATCAGTACAGCATTCTTGCCCTTAGTCATACCTAGTTAGTGTACCTTAGCTTATAGACACTGGTATTCTGCTCAGAGAAGAGAGCTCAGATTTCTCTTCTGGGTTTGGGTTTCAGTCAGGACTAAGCTACCTGACTGATTAGTTGCAGAACAATCACTGTAGATCTAACTACTTCTAAAGCAAGTTTTTAACAAGTCCTTGTGTTTGCTCCACCTCCATTCCTTTCATCAGAGGTACTGTGCCACCGATTCCCCCGGCTTCGAGGGATTCTGCAGCATAAACCAGGTTGCTGCTCAGCTTTTTCCACTTCAGTTTTAGGGTTGAGTTTTTTAGGTCTAAGTCATTTACCATTGATCCCTTTGCCTCCAGATTCCAAAATTTTGTTGTTGCCACTTCTTTTCTTTTTCCCATTTATGTGAGTTTATGTTAAAAAAAAAAAAAAAAGTGCAGGTTTAAGAAGGGGTGAATTCAATGGGTGTAATTAATTCACTGTCTTTTCCTGGAGGTCCAACAGCTTATAATGGTTAGGAAATTCTGACTTCCCCAAAGTTCTCTTTCTCTATGGCTTCTGGTTCTAGAACCAACTGGTTTTAGTCTTGCCCATGAGAGACACACAATAACCTTTAGAAAGTTGAAGGTAGCCACTTAGTCCCCCAGTTAGTCTTTTCCACAAGCCAAACATTCCCTGTTTCTTCAACAGTTTTATTTTCTCTAACTAACTTCATTCATGGAGACTTAATGTGATAGGAGAATTTCTGTTCATATTTGTGGAGGCATTCAGCTCCTCCTCCTCTATCATTTATATCAAGCAAAACTTAGGAATCAGAGAGAAATATGAAAGGGAAAAATCAGATGACATCCTATATAATCCTCAGTAGTTAGTTAGGAGGGCTAAATTTGGTTTAGGTCCATCATCACCTTTTTTTCTAACTTTCTAGCCAACTTTTTACTCTGAGAACTGTAATTCCCAGAGCTTGGTATAATTGTAAACTTTTCGCTGAACTGATTCATACCAAAACCCTATTCACTCATGCAGACTCTATCCTCTTTTCTGTGCAAGGGTGCTAATTTTTGTCTATATTTATCTTCTGGCTCAGTCAAGCCTAGAATAGCAGAGAACAAGCTAAAGGTGTATAAAGTGCAATGTAGTTATTTTTGTGGTTTCTCCATTATCATATTGATGATCAAATGTTTGACAATAAGAAAATGTTCTTTAAAAACCATTTTAAATTATTTTATTTTATTGGAGACAGAGTCTTGCTCTGTTGCCTGGGCAAGAGTGCCGTGGCGTCAGCCTAGCTCACAGCAACCTCAGACCCCTGAACTCAAGCGATCCTCCTGCCTCAGCCTCCTGTGTAGCTGGGACTACAGGCATGCGCCACCATGCCAGGCTGATTTTCCTATATATTTTTAGTTGTCCAACTAATTTGTTTCTATTTTTAGTAGAGATGGGGTCTCGCTCTTGCTCAGGCTGGTCTCGAACTCCTGAGCTCAAACAATTTACCCACCTTGGCCTCCCAGAGTGCTAGGATTACAGGCATGAGCCACTGGCCTTTAAAAACCATTTTAGAAAGTAGATGGTTAAAATTCAGACTTTTCCTTTTGAATTGTATGTTCAAATTTTATTAGCATGTGTTTTTTGTTTTTAGAATGTACAGATATATTTTGCTACATTTTGTTTTTTGAGCTTGCTAGGCCTTCTCCTTCCTTGTCAGGGTGTCTGTCCTGCCAGTCCCTCAGGAATCAACATATTGGTGTGGAAAAAGCACTCGACTAGCAGAACTAGCTAAGTCCATTTTTAGGCAATATGTGTGACCTTTTGTAAGTGAGTTTCCTTCTCCGGTCCCTCATATCCTCATCAGTAGGGCAGAGAGATTAGACAAGAAAATCTCAAAAGATCCCCTTGTAATTCTCATTCCACGGTTTTATGAATGTGAGACGTCCTAGACCCACAGAGGAATGCTCATTCTCTTTATCCTGTGTTGATACCTCTCTGCTTTGAACTTTCCAACTCTGTGTTTGCCTATGGAATGTACTTTTACATTCAACATAAACTACCTCATGTCATTACTGAATTGCTTCATGTACACATGTCCCATCCCACAAGTAGCAGGGATGCTATCTTCTCTGATGTTTGAGGTCCTCTCTGGTATGGTGAATAAAGGAAGGACTCAGCCTCAGGAGCTCAGTCTTGGGAATCTAACAGATCAGTTTTTCTCCATAAAGACTTCAGGGTATTCCACATTATGGCTCTATCATCATATCTTTTTTAAAACAGGGTCCCCTTCTGTCACCCATGCCAGATTGCAGTGGCATGATCACAGCTCACTGCAACCTCCAATTCCTGGGCTTAAGTGATCCTCTTGCCTCAGCCTCCTAAGTAGCTGGGACTACAGGTGCACACTGCCACACCCAGCCAATTTTTAGTTTTTTGTAGAGACGGAGTCTTGCTATGTTGCCCAGGCTGGTCTTAAACTCCTAGCCTCCCAGAGCGCTGGGAATACAGGCATGAGCCATCATGTCCAGCCTCAGTCACTGTTTAGTGAATCCCCTGTGGATGATGATTTAGAATGTTTCAGGTTTTGCCCTGTTGGGAACAATATCTTAATGAATGTCTGCATATATGTATTTACTCTCTCTTATGAATATGCTGTAGGGTTAATCCCTAGAAGTAGAATTACTGTCAAAAAGTGAGAATAGGCTGGGCCCAGTGGCTCATGCCCATACTCCTAGCATTTTTGGGAGGCTGAGGTGAGAAGATTACTTGAGGACAGGAGTTCGAGACCAGTCTGGGCAAAATAACGAGGTCCTATCTCTACAAAGGAATTTTTTAAATTAGCCTGATCTGGCAGCACATGCCTGCAGGCCTACCTACTAGGGAGTCTAAGGCAGGAGGATCACTTGAGCCCAGGAGTTTGAGGCTGTCAGCTATGATTGGACCACTGTACTTTAGCCTAGGTGACAAGGGAGACCCTGTCTCTTAAAAAATGTATATATTTTGTATTCTAATATCTATTGCCAAAACGTAAAGATTTTGGCAAATGGAAAGCAGGTCTGGATGCCAGTCCTTGTTATGTGACCTTTGGGTAAGTTACTTAACCTCTAAGCCTCTTTTCACTCATATGTAAATGAGAAAAATATATTTTTACCTCATAAGATCATAGTCTGCTCTGGCTATCATAAGCTCTGGTATATAGTAAACACTTCTTCGTTAATCTCTAATGATAGTAGATCACTGTTACAGAAATGTACTTTAGTATTTTCTTTTTCTTTTCTCTTTTTCAGCTATGACTCAAGACATGAGATAAAAGAAATCTACTTTTGAAACATAAGAGAACTTTTCCCCTTGGTTAGATTCTTCAACACAGCCAATGAAAATAGAGCATTGTATTTCTTTTCACTAATATATCACTGTTTTTTCCAAGAAAGAATGAGAGACAATCCTAGACTTCCATCATAATGCAGAGTTATGTGTAGACATAATTGACCCACATGATGTTCACACAGTGACTGCCATGAAGATACAAAGTGGTATTGTTTACATTATTAGAAAATTATTAGTTCTCCAATGGCAATAACCCATTTATGAGAGAGTTTTACCCCACTGGAATAGACAGGGACCCCGTCCTGTGGGAGGCATGTTAGCGTGGAGCTGATATTGGATGCACATCTTGCAGTGGTAATTCATCCCTAACAGCATCATAAAGCAGGTGCTTAGGTGCTTTGCTTTTCCTCCCAAAACAAACAGGTGAGTCAGCGCCACCGAGAGCCAGGCAGCTCTGAATGGCAGTGTGGTGCTAGCAGCTTGTTTTTCAATAGAATAGGGTACCGGTTCATCGTGCGGTCTTCCTTCACAGAGGCATTAATTTTGGAAGGAAGCTGACAAGTCATGGGTCAAGTTTCAGTGACATTGTCCTTCCTTTAATGGCAGTATACACTTTTTGCATTTTGATTGTTCCTGAGATGCAGTATATTTAAAACTAGTCTCTCCCTGCTAACAAAAAAGTGAATCTAGTTTACTTTGAGCATTAGAATTTGCTCCTCTGAAATTCTGTGCTCCAGTTACTTTACTTTCCCTTTAGAATACACGTGGAAAGAAAGAAAGAATAACGATCACTCCAGTTTTTCCCTTGAACAAGATGGTTCTTCCCAAATTGTGCTGTTTTTTTTTTTTTTAAATGAAGTGAGCAGGGTGGGTGGGGGCAGAGAAGCACTCAACTTTGTTTGACTGCCTCCCCTGTTCTTTGCCGTGACCTGGGAAGTGTGCAGTGGGTGTCCTCCTGTCTTGTCTTTGGGGCAGTAAGAGGCTCACTCACCTGCACTTCTTCTGCGTCAGGCCACACGGCTGTCAGCAGGATTGCCCAGTTGGCAAGCACACTCCACTGGCCACGTGGTGCTAATGCTTCCTCCATGCACGTGACTGTTTGAGAGGAAAGGAAGTTCTCTTAGGTGTTACTGCTTTTGCTCAGACTTTGCAACAAACAAACAAACAAAAAAAACCCTATATATATATATATATATATAAATATATAATTACTAATCACTTTTGTCCTTGAGAAAGTCTTGAATGAATAGAGAATTAATCCATTGCAATATTTGATTGTATAGAGGCACGCTGTTTCATCAACAGAAGCAAAAAAGGCTGTGTATAAGTTTTTGGTACTATGTACCACCTCTTATTCTTCTAAAGCTGAAGTATTCATGTACTTAAACCATATTCTATTTAATTGTGTTTGATTTAAAAATATATATATGAATTATATTTAAAATTGTGTCAACTTTCTGCTTTTAGGGCATCTGTGGCTCTTCTGTTGAAATATATTAATCCTTCCAAATGTTTCCATTTGCTTTACAAAAACCCCGAACATAAGTCACTGCTGGACTTAGCTTTGTGTTTGGAATGTGTGGTGTAGACCCAAGGTTTTTAAAAGGTGTATATGCTGTGATTGATTGATTCTGTTCCTTTAACAAAATATTTCCATCCATTTCACATTGTTCCCATCTTTAAATAACAGAAAAGCAATATAAAAGTTATAGAATAAAATGTGGTTTTGGGTGACTCTTGCTGCCTCTGCATGTTTTGGAATGACAATTTCTGTAAGACTCTAGGTTATTCAAACGAATGCTTTCAGTTAAGATAATTTATAATCATTTCTTTGTATAAATTTTTGCTTCTGAGCTAGAGATGCCAATAGTTATAAACTTCTTATAAAGAAAAGAATAACAAGTTTGAGACTCAGCTACTTTTTTCTCCCCCACCTGCTATGAGACACAGAAGCAGAGTGTGGCCTGGAATTATTAGCTGGATTTAATATTTGATCTAAAACAGATCCTTGTACTTACTTTAAAATTGGAATTGGATTTATCTAACATTGAGCACCCACAGTGTTCCAAGCTCTACGCAATGTACCCGCAAAATATTCCCCGGCAGGGTTTTTGTAAGTTTAAGGAATCAGTTGAACACCTTTTATCTTTATTATGTTGTTCACATCAACACAAATTGTTTAAAAAGAAAAGGTGTTAGTAAGAAAATGATTCCTTTTGCAACTTGATATGTCTCTATTGTTCCTGTAAGATTTGGTGAAAGTAAAAAGTAGATGTCAACCAAATCCAGTGAAGAGCAATAAAATCGCAACTTTTTATAACTTTTTCTATTTGGGTTTCAGTATTCAGTAGAGCTTTATTGAAAACTTTATATAAGTAGTTTACAGTACTGGAACTTTGACTACTCATAGGAATTTGGGAGGGAAGGTCATTCTGAATTGTAGAAAATTATAAACTAATTTGCTCTTGTGCTTAAGTCCTGAGAGATAATAAGCACCTGAAGGAATGGCTTGCCTTTCTCCAGTGACACTGACTCACAGTGACCCGTCCCCCACTCCTGCAGGTGTGAGGGCCATGTCTGCTCACAGGGACCTTTGTCTCTCTCTCTACCCCCTTCCCTACATACCAGTTGATTGGACCAGAGTTGAACTGATCCAAACAGGCCTAATATAATTCTTTATCTTAAGAATTTTGCACAGGGCAGGGGAGATGTGGGTTACCATCTAGAGTGGCTTAGATGGCACACTTACACTGTCAGGAGACGGCACTGCAAGGACAAGCAGAGGTATGTGGGCCTGAGGGAGCAGCTGCCTTGGTGATAGCCTTGAGGGCTTCCCTGGTTTCTGTGTCTGTCTAGTCTTGCATCCTTGCCGTGGGCTTCATTGATCTCTCAGGTATCCTTAGAATTAATTCTGATTTTTAAAAATCAGTCTGAAGTGGGTAG